CTAACCTCAGATCTCAGGAGTCAACACCGGAGAGTTATTTGCCTATGCCGTGGCGGCGACGTTGTGACCTTGTTTTTAGTCGAAATTCTAACCGCGTGAAGTTTGAGTCTCCACAAAGTCTCCGAGTCGTTACTTTTCCTCGTAGATATAGCACATACCAACGGCCTTAGCGAGTCTTGGGAACACCCTCGTGGGTTGACAATCTGCTCGGTGTTTGGCCAATGTCAAGACAGCTCAAACCAGGTTCGAATCCTGCCCGGGGCATACAATAGTCACAATTTCTTTTTGTCTTCGCCGCAGAAATTTGCGACTCTGGACGATAGTTCCACTCGTTTCCGCTCAAGGAATGAAATTTAAACCGTGGGAAATTGCGTTGATGCATTGATCACGGCGTAACCTCGGGCCAAAGAATGCTGATGTCCTAAGTAGGTAAGTACCCCCCTATTTCACTCTGTCCTGTGAAAAGCTGGGTATTGGAAGACGTAGAGGACTCAAAAATGCGGGTATCCATATCTCTTGGTTTCTGATGAAATTTCTGCCCATATTGCCATTAAATCACAATCTTGTGGAGCAGCATAGTAAATATACTCGGTAACCATGTATTCTGGCTCATTTTGGGAGAGGAAGCCTATGAGGATGGAAAATAATGGCACCAGTGATGAGGCATGTAATTGAACATGCCTGAAATAATGAATTTTACGACCTTTCAGTTGGGAATAACTGATGAAACCAGTCAATAAGGCTACAGAGGGTACTGGTCTACTCCTAGGATCGAGTATGAGGCTCCTTAACGTGTTTAAAACACCGGTGACATCATCATTTTTATCACACCGGTCATGGAAATACTCCTGCAAGCTGTACACTTGGTGCAGTAAGTTTGAGGAATTCTGTGGACACTAGGCCATTAACAAACACATGGGACATTGGAAGGACATCATAAATGGCTACAGAACTCAGGGAGATACTATCGGTGACCGTGCAAAGTCATTGGATGATAGTTACCATATTAGGAGTCTAGTGGTTGAACTTCGTGATTTCTGGGTAGCTCCGGCACCTGTTCCCACTTAAATCGGACATGGAGGATGCCAGACATGGCCTGGAACAGGATATGATGGGTCTAGACACTGGTTGAGGGATTCAAGTTTTTCAGCACAATTGATGATGAAAAATGTTGTTTGTTTTTCAGACATTTCTATTTTTCACTGAAAAAGTAGGTGGAAAATTCAAACATTTTTCACCACTTTTTGCCTTTCTTTTGAATTTTTCACCCCAAGCTCAAAAAATAGTGAAAATGATTTGAGTTTTTTACCTACTTTTTCACTGTAAATTGTGCTGAAAAACTTGAATCTCCCAACCAGTGAGAGGGCTCAGGCGCACTTGTCAAGGTCTAGGTGGCAGCGGCAAACAGACTGTTATGGCGGTCACTTTGTACATTTATTATTTGGGGTTTTTTTTTCGCGTTTTTGGGCGGAACACCTGAATTAATTTTTCAGAGGCTTTTACAACTTCCACTGGTTGGGAGATTCAAAGTTTTCAGCACAATTTACGGTGAAAAATGACATTTCTTTTTCAGACATTTTTCACTGAGAAAGTAGGTGAAAAACTCAAATCATTTCACTATTTTCTTAGCTCAAGGTGAAATTTTCAAAAGAAAGGCGAAAAAGGGTGAAAAATATCCCAATTTTCCACTCGCTTTTTTGGTTAAAAATCCCTGAAAAACGAACAACATTTTTCACCATAAATTGTACTGAAAAACTCGAATCCCTCAACCAGTGTTCTTGGACTGGAATTATCATGTACCAAAACTGCCGCAACCATATATTCTCTGAAAACATATGCTCTAGTGCGTGTAAACATCAGCATTGCCGTGCTGCCGATATTCTGGCGATCAAATTAACTTCCAACTTGGTATCAAGAACTAGGATCTTACACCTCAGACTTCCTCAAAACTAAAGACTAGAGACTATGGTGTACTCCAAAAGTGCTGACTATGACATGAGAGTCAGAATGACCAATGAAAAAAAGATCTCATAGTTTGACCAAAACAAGTCTTTCCAAGGAATTGGAATGAACGGGTTGGGTAAAAAGCGTTTTTACTAAGCGGACATGGTTTAATATGTTGTCCTAGGCAAGGTGATAAAGTGTCTTCTGAAAACTTCCAGTTACGGACTATGCTGCGCCAGCTATTCTCTCCTCTATGACGATCCCAACTCAACAGATGCCAGGTGCCAACTTAGAACCTTGAATCTAAGTTCTTTTCTTTAACACTTGGGCTTATTATGGACCTAGAGGGTTCACTCAAGCTTCGTTAATCGGCCAATGAATCGACCAAGGAGTTCTACCAAAGTGCTGTGCTGGTCGTAGTCCGTTTTACGGGAGGCGTTTCCTAGTCACCCAATGCGTAGCCCTTGCGAAGTCCACCACGAAGTCAACGACAACTCTCAAACTTTCTCTTTGTGCGCTCGGTCCCGATTTATACGTGGAGGTCGTTGCCGCTCACAAGCTCCCAACGCGAGTCTTTGCTTATTAGTTCACACAGTTACTCGTGGATCCAAGAACACTGATTCGATTTCTATAGACTTTACAAACGAAGAAGATACTTTATCTCCACTAGCTAGGCCTGAGCACACCCTTATCGTCGTAACGATGAGCGGGGCATGAACTGGTCTTTCAAATGCCAGGTGCCAACTTAGAACCTTGAATCTAAGTTCTTTTCTTTAACACTTGGGCTTATTATGGACCTAGAGGGTTCACTCAAGCTCTGTTAATCGGCCAATAAATCGACCAAGGAGTTCTACCAAAGTGCTGTGCTGGTCGTGGTCGGTTTTACGGGAGGCGTTTCCTAGTCGCACAATGCGTAGCCCGTGCGAAGTCCATCACGAAGTCAACGACAACTCTCAAATGTTCTCTTTGTGCTGTCAGTCCCAGTTTATACATGGAGGTTGTTGCCACTCACAAGCTCCCAACACGATTCTTTGCTTATTGGGTCACACAGTTACTTGTGGATCCAACAACACTGATTCAATTTCTATAGACTTTACAAACAAAGAAGATACTTTATCTCTGCTAGCTAGGCCTGAGCACACCCTTATCATTGTAACAATAAGCGGGGCATGAACTGGTCTTGAGCAGTATTTTATGAGTCCTTTTATACTAGTTGAGAGAAAGAGATGAAGTAAAGTAAAATGAGTAAAATGAGTCCAAAACTGGTCAGTGCAGCTCCCCTACGGCTAGCTAGTTGGGTCTATTGTGCTCTAGACTTGCCGGACATTCAGCTAGCTGGGTATATTGCCAATTCCGTACAGCTTCACAGCTCCCGGACTCTCTGTATTTGCAAAATGACCCTGAGAAAACTGTTCCCACTATTGCCTGCTCACCAATCCTCTCCCAATCTCCATCTCTGCAAGGAACATTTAGTCCTTTAGTCATTGTGCCATCTTATCTAAAATACATCTCTTGAGTTTGTTTGTCGCAGCTAGCTGCCCACAAACACATTGTGTCAATCACCTGATCTGTCAATCTGCAGATCCTCATGCCGCCGGCTTCTCCTAGCCATCGGTATCACTGACTAGCCCGATAAACCCGACGCTAGCCCCGAACTATTGCAGAACCGTGGTTCCTAGTCCTGATGTCACAATGATACGCCGCGGATCGGGACGACTGAGGAGGAAATGAGCTGGATACTGGGTCTCAATGTATGGCTAAACCACACACTAAACACACTCCAAATCAAACACCCTAATCACTTCTCCGCTTGTATATGTGTTTGTGGGGTTCCAACCAAAGTATTATGGCTGTTGCAATAGCTGAAAACTAGGTTTCGACTTGAAGCTTTAAGTCAACCGTTTGGTTTCTCGGACCTATTGGGCGCTGACGCGACCTTTATAGTTCTTAGAAGAGTTGTGGTTTTAAAAAAGGTTTGTGGTGATATACACCAGGTGGTTGTGTGGTGAACTAGACTTAGTTTGACACTGGGTTGAACTGTAACTGAAAGTTGACAAGTTCTGCTGTAATATTTGCTGACACTGATGCTGTGACCCTAAAACGCTGACACTGACCCTAAACGCTGACGCTGATGCTTGTGATAGCCCTCGGCCATCGGCAGGTAGGCTTCTCACCTCTTACGAAGATGGGGAGGCAACCAGCGAGTATCGGTCGCTGGTTATCGCCTCGCGGTTCAGACAGAACCCGTGAGCAAGAGCGAATGAGGCCGCGTCCGGAGACGGGACTCAGTTCGGTCTGCCAAGTGCTTGATAACCCAAAGCTGGGGAGCTGAATGAAGGGATGCTCAGCCCTGACAGATGTCGCACGCGGCCTGTTGACTCTTGAAGAGCACTAAGTAGAAGGTCGTGGTATGCAAGTAAGTTAATATGATTATCTATCACATCGTGGAAGTGTGTACCGCGGAATCCTAATTAGGCTATTGACTACTGTATTGCAAAGGCCTCTGGCTATGCCTAAAAGGGACGGCGCACAGACCCGTCACAATGCTGCACAACAAATATAATCCAATCCTAATATATTGGTAGACACCAAAGTATCTATAAGACACTCAAATGTACACCGAATGGATTCCGTAAGACTTCCCGGACGGATGCACGTGTTGTGAGCTATCACATTGTGATTAGCTCCAGACGCCCTTCCATGCAGAACAAAAGCGGCTTTCAGAACCACCGGCGAAGCATCATTCACTGGCGCACTCGCAGATTGGAAATCACTGATGAAGTCACTGGTGCACTCTTTCACTGGCGCACTCACAGATTGGAAATCACTGACACACTCTTGACTGGCGCACTTGGAGGTTAGAATTCATTGGCGCACTCGCATTCGAAACCACTGGCATGCTCGCATTTGAAATCACTGGCATGCTTGCATTTGAAACCACTGGTGCAATTGCATTTAAAACCACTGGCGCACTTACAGATGTCAGAACAAAGACGGGTGTGCTTTCGCAAATAAAAAGAGGTAGCTTCATTCCTTGAATGAAGCTACCACTTTAAAGGCCAGACCCCAAGTTGAACGAGGGTTGCAGATCGAATGCTACTATTAACCCCATCAAATATCCGCGCACTAACCGCTGTGCTATCTGGCCGTGATGATTAAAACAAGTCGCGCAGAACTATCAAAATATAAAGAGCGCCACCGACCCTGAAGATGGAAGGGCGCCGCAACAAGAAAAGGGTGCCATATTAAATCAACAACCTTTCGCACATTATTTGCATGCACCGGGTCGTACTCGCGACAAAGACTATCTGGAAAAATGCGCGAGCTAAAAAGGCACTGAGCTGGGAAAAAGAAGTGGTTAAATTTCCCAAGGCCAGACCCCGAGTCGAACAAGGGTAGCAGATTGAATATTGCCCTTGAACCCATCAAGTGTCCGTGCACTAACCGCTGTGCTATCTGACCGTGATAGTTAGGGACTGGGGAACAACAACGACATATACGAGAAAAGAACGCGCTGGTTGAAGAAAGGCGCGGGCGCTGTTTGAAGAAAGGTGCAGGCATGGTTTGGAGGAAAAAGTGTGGGTGCTGTCTAAAGGAAAGGCCGGTGCGGTTTGAAGGAAAAGGCGCGGGCACTGTTTAAAAGGAAGGCTGGCGCGGTTTGAGAAAAAAGGCGCAGGTGCGCTTGGGAAGAAAGGCACTGGAGTTAGACCAATGGGGAAGCAGGAAAGGGTATAAAAGGGGAGCACGAAGAAGAGAGAAGGCATCTAATTACCTCCACTGCATACTGCTAAAAGGAAAGGCGCTCCCATTAAACGGGAGGCGCTAATTCTGTACATTGTCAAATCAAATGTATTTAGTGTGCCTTCACGAGAGTGGGGTAACAAGGTCACCTTGACCGCAGTTGAACAGAATAGAAACTGCGTGAGAGACCTCTAGGACAAGAAAGGAAGAAATGTTGGAAATAACAGGTGTTGAAGTGCGCGTTCAGTTGAAGAAAAGTGCAGCGTGATCCTCCAAGCAGCCAGCAGACCTACTCAGGCTGCATGTAACTGTTGACTTTCAGTGCTCATAAGTAACGCACACCTTGCGTAGGGCGCACTTATCGAGAAGGTGACTTTTACCAACTCGACTATACCACTTCCCCCATCCACTTTGGCGTACTTCACTCGACTAGCTAAAGAGGCGCCTCACGCCTGACTATTTGCGCATGCACCCCATATTCAGATCGCGAAGGAGTGCGCTACAATCTGACAGTGCTGCGTTTATCCAGTTCTGAAGAAACTGCTTGCACACCCTATACCAAGCAAGGAGATACAAAAACACCACATTACCCGGGTTTACCGAGTAGGAGCGTACTCCGCATTGTGGAGCGCCAATCCTTCGCGTGAGTAGAAGAATCTCTCATCACATTTTTCTCGGAAGGCTAGCCCCCCAACGAGAGGCCAAACTCTTGAGGAACCTAGCACCTTTCTCAAAATCTGCTACTCGCAGACGAGAAATCTGTATTAACCACCACCACCGCATAAAATTATCACTCCGTAGAAGTAAAGAGCGCCACTAGCCTGATGATTTCCCTCTAGAAGACAAATAAAACTATTGTATTTCAGTTTGACCGTAATTCCACGGGCAGATTCGAGTACAATAACCGCAGTCCACATCACAGTGTTATGCTGTGCTCCTAACAAGAAGGGTACGGTCCACTGGCTTCCACCTATGCTCTACTCCTACTTATATACTAAATCCTACACACCAAATACTACAAAACACGGAAACTCAATACGGTGATAAGCTGTGTATTGGAACACGCAGAAATCATATCGTTTTATCAATTTAACACATGCACATAGCCTAAACAAGGACTAATGTGTCATCCTGCACGGTTAGTTAAAAGACTTACTGTGGGGAATCACAGTTCGTGCGCAACCTGCTTAAGCAGAATATTCACATACTGCTTAATGAGTTTGATGTCAAGCATGAATTGGGCATGGCTGGATGATGGTTCAGAAGCCACAAGGTCTATTTGATCAAGGAATTAGTACATATCCACTCTGTCTAATATTGGGCTAAAGGGGAACTCCCCTTAAGCCAGCTTCTCGAGATTTTGTGTGTTATTTGTTCGCTTTGACACGACGCGCCTGGTCACAGATCTGCCACAGTCCTTAACTCAATATTGTTTAAGCACTGTGCCGGATATCCGACTTGGCTGGACTGCCAAGAACCGATCAATACCTTCTAAAATAGGATTGCTATTGATGATGTGAATTACTTGTTCAGAACCACAAACATATTGGTGTCTACAGAGAGCTATTAATTGGCTGAGTTCCACCAAGGGATCCTTGCTTAAGGGATAAATGGCTACCTCAAGTACGAGGTGGTACAAGCCGACTTACTAAGTGATCGATCGAATTAGGCACCAAGTGAAACCTTGATCCGCTTTTAAATGCAACAAAGGAGTCAGGTAGCACTCCAACTGAATAGAGTGACTGTAATGGACCGACTAAAGCTCGGATAATAACCGCTGCAAGATAATACGTGTATGTAATTAATATGTAGGAAATGTATATAAGGGAGGCATAGTTTAATAGCACGGCACAAAATCTCCCCCAAGAGAGCCGGCAGCTACCAGCGCCTGCGCACCAAGGGAGACTAGGGCTTGTTTTGCTAAGACTACCTCTACGGTGTAGCTTGAATATAACAAGTTGACTGGCATTGATTTGTGAAACCCTTAAACCAAACAGACCGAGTTACAGAATTGTGGTTACCAGACAAAGTGATACTATACAACGGGTTCCAGGCAAAGTTAAACGGTGAGAGAACACAGGATTTATTGTGCACAAAGTGGGACTTTGTCCAAAACGGTTACTTAAAAGAGAATCGCAATTGAGCTGAGAAGCTATAATATCTACAAGTCAACTCAGGTGTTCAGGACATTGGTTCTGCACTTGACAAGGTGAACAAACAGTGTTTTCATGCTGAACCAGTGCAATTCATAAAAAGACTAATTAAGCCATCTCAGTACTTGGTCCTTGTCCTTGGAAGTACATTCGTGTAATCTTGGACAAGCATCTTTACTTGTCGGCAATAGACTTTGAAAGGGGTGTTTAGGTGTTAGTTTTGGTTAGTTAGTTGTTAGTTGTGAGGCCTTATCCACGGATTTGGCTTAAGCAGCAAAGCATCTTGCTTGTCCGCTTTAGCATTTAGTTTAGCATTTTGGTCTGTTTCCCGAGCACCCGTTGAAACGGGCAAGATGCGCTGACTATGGAATGGGCTAAACTAAGCTCTGAATGCGGGCTAGCTGAACTACTAACACACCACACACAAAACACACACACACCAACCCAATCCTATCTAAACTGACTCACGGGGGACGTAGCGCGTCTTCCTCGATGAGTTCGGGTCCTGAGTCGTAGTATGCGACTGCGGATTTGATGTCTAGAGCACGTATAGTTGTTCTATGCATTCAAAACGTCTCAAAATGCAGCGTCTAGACGCTAGTTGGCTTGGCTGCTTGGCTTCTAAACAAGACTTCCAGAGAAGGATGCACAGGTTTATATATAAAGGATTGTTACTAGGAATCGTACCGAAGTACAGGTGCCTAGGCGAGGAGGTGTAGATTTGGACTGAAAATCCCGTTCAAGGGCTATGCTGCTTCGTCTAGACACCCTCTGGTGCACAGCTAGCCTCTCGAGAACTAGCGGCAGACTCGGACTCCTTTGAATCCAAGATCTTTTCCGTACACTTGAGTTTATTAAGGACCTCAAAGTACTATCCAACACAGCTAAACGACCGGTGGTTGTCCCAGGGTTCTCCCAAAGTGCTGTGCCGGGCGTGGTCGGTTTTAGCGAGGTGTTTCCTGGTCACCCAATGCGGATGCCCTGCTAGAGTCCACTCGCGACGCTGATAAGCCGTGTAATGGAACACGCAGAAATCGCGTCGTTTTACCAATTTAATGCACGCACATAGCCTAAACAAGGACTAACGTGTCATCCTGCACGGTTAGTTAAAGGACTTACTGTGGTAATCACAGTTCGTGCGCGACCCGCTTAAGCAGAATATTCACATACTGCTTAAGGAGTTTGACGCCGAGCATGACTTAGGCATGGCTGGATAATGGTTCAGAAGCCACCACAGGGTCTAATTGATCAAGGGATTAGTACATATCCACTCTGTCTAATATTGGGCTAAAGGGAGAACCTACCTTAAGCCGACTTCTCGAAATGTTGTGTTTTGCTTGTTCACTTTAACGCGACGCGCCTGGTCACCTGATCTGCCGCAGTGCATAACTCAATGGCGGTTAAGCACTGTGCCGGATGTCCGACTTGGCCGGATTGCCAAGGAACCGATCAATACCTTCTAAAACAAGATTGCT